ACGGCTAATAAGCCAGAAATGGCCATTCCGGTCTCCCTTGTCTTTGTCAGTATCACCTTATCAACATATATATATATCGAATGGTAAAAAGCACGCTCAAGGGATTCAAGGTAGTCCCTCCAGTTGTTGAGTTGAATTGGATTATTGGAAAACAATGATCACCATAAATTGAGTATGGGGACAACTCAATCCCGGCGGATTCATCTCAGGGTTTCGCCCTGCAACAAACCCTTGCGGTCCCCTCAGCGATGTCCAAGTTACGCGGCTGAAACTTTTCAAATGGCACCGAGGATTAGCCATTACCAGGTGGGTGATATTGCTCGGTTCCTTATTTTCCATCCTCTGTTACTTTGAATGCTTGAAAAGACTCGAATCGACCGACAGAAACAAATAAGTTGCGCCAGTCTCCAGGGCGGTTGCCGAGACGGGATCTGGGGCCAAAGTGTGTCTGGCTGTATTGTGTTCTCATTACCACAACCTTGGGACATTTGAGTTGATGCACAAGAGAACATGCTTTGACCTAGAAATAGCTATTCCCCTAACCTGAATGTACTTCATTTCAAATACCAGTTCAGTGGGCAGTCAACGTCTAGCCTGTCCTAGTGCGCACCAAAGAAATTCCTCCAATACGTTGTCTATAGGTTTCTTAAATTCATGAGCTTTCGAGCCTCCCACTTATCGGCAGTGCATGTTCCTAACTCGAGTTTTCTATGCAATTTTATTTTTTACAACTTTTTCGACTAAGCCGACAAAGTTTGATCTATCACTAGGGATAGTTCGGTGAACACTACTGTGAGTGGGAGCGAGGCGAAAATCTTATCATGTTAATTTGTGACCCGCGTCTGTTGTTTGTCGCCTTTGGGCGTAAACGAGATCTCGACTGTCAAGCCTCCTCCCTCCCCCCCCCCTTCCCCACAGGAGCGCGCTGGCTCCGATACTGCTCAGCGCTGATTCGGCGACAGGCTTCGACGCGGGTGACCGTGCGGCAAATACGAGCGGAGCGAAAGTCCTCGTCAAGTGCGGACGTGCGCGCCGTCTTGCTCGGGCTGCCCGTGCACCCTGGCCGGGTGCCCTCGATATCCAGGCCCGCGAGTGTGGCGCGGCATAGGGCCGGTCGTCCGACCTGGGGGTTACCGTTTGCACCCACACGCGTGGCGCGCCCCGCTCCCCGCCCGAAAGGCGCAACTGGCGCAATGACGCATAGAGCTACTGAATGTCCCCTAGGTCTGACCCATAAGTTAAGTGCGCGCACCGAACACTCGTGCGCATGCCTGCGCGTGTATGTACGTGCGCCTTTCATCCTCCTGGCAAACTCTTACTCATTTGCAAGGTTTTAACCGTATCATTTCAACGTCGATCAATAAGGACACAGCTTTTGCCACCATACCCATGCACTCGGTCAGCTGACAAGGCCTCACTTATCAGTACCACTCACCTGACGAACTGAAACGAAGACGAAGAGCAGCGAAGAAGCCGTAGAAGAGACGAAAACGACCAATGGTGAGAGGTTTGAAACAGCCATCCCGCCGGCACCTATACCGCGCTCCTCGACTGTAGGAGTTTCATTTTAACTAAGTCAACCAGCGAAGGGAATTCTGTTCATGGTTTCCATCAGTAGTGGACTTTCGGAGACCTGTTACATTGATAAAACCATACTTGGAGAGGGAGTTCCGACAAAGACATCACCATCCAGCCATACCCAGTCCCAAGACTGGATAATCTGGGATTCGAACCTGGGCTCTGTGCTCACTAAATGTTTGGTAATCCAACGCTCCATCATTGAGCCAAACAGTCCGAACAGAAGTCACATTTTGAAACCATTGACAATCCTCGCCGGTTTGTCTCGGGTCGAAGATCTCATGATCCAACGATCATGGCTCGAGCCAGGTTTATAGGGACAGAAGTAATTGGGGTATTTTTCCAGTCACGTGTTTTTGGTGAGTTTGCTATCAAATCGACTAACTCGTCTCCATTTTAAGGTAGTACTATCGTCATCTGTTACAGGAAAAACCGGTTCCCGCGTAGACCTTTCTGGCCCACATGAACATGTGCGTTGTCAGCAGAGCGATGCTGCTCCACATTACCTACTTACTTCAGCGAAGTCTTTAGAAAGAGCTTTTTGAGTGGCAACTTAAGTCTTGTGATGCCAACCTACTTGCTCCATTACTTTTGGGCAACCCGACATTTAGGATTTGCAGAGGAGTACCCAAAACTATGGAAAGGCTAAAGTTGGTCCTCGTTCGAGAAGGTCCTTCCATTATTGCTGGTAACCATCACCACATACTCGAACCCTGCTTGCGGAGGAAGTTGTTTTGTAAACGATATTATGAACAGCATTTTGAATGTATAACGAAGTAATCTTTTGGCAAGCAGTTGGCATTGACAATTTCATACTTCATGGTCCAGAGAAGTGCGCTGAGTATTATTTCATCTAGAACAGAAACGGACTGGAAATCTTCTAACGATAGCGATTGCTGACATGCGGACGCTACCACTAAGACGAGAACCCTTTGTTCTCTAAAGATCCCAACGTCTCAAAATTGGCGGAGTCGTCAGCAGGCCAGTCGTTCCTCTTTCTCGAGTTAGCAGAATGTTTGACTTGCGCTCAAAGTAAAGGTACAGCGAGGGCCTAACCGCATGCCACTGTGCGCATGACCAGACTTGATATCTAGTATAACATGCGCCTCACGAAGCAATACGTCTACTGAAGTTCGCTTTTTGCATTCTCACTATCACCGTATGCGTGACAAATGAGTGAGCTGTAACGTTGCCAAACAAGTCACGAACAGAGTCACTCAGTGCAGAGGACCTACCGCTTAACAGGCGAATAATTTGATAGAGGTTTCAAGTGTCACTGGCATCCGAAGCCTGCTCCATAGAGGTTCCCACTTCAACTTATTAGTTTTTGTGAGATCGCCGTTAACTAACTTCGTCATGCTTCTCCGGAGGTGGTAGAAATTGCCTGGCCAGGCAACTGTGAGATTCTTGGTCCCATCGATTCAGTAGGGTGTCACTGGGTCAATCCAAAAGCAGTCTCAGCTACCTTTATCTTTGATTCAGCTTACAAAGCCATAGGTGGTTTCCGAGTTTTCAACCTTGGCCATGTTGGGCTGTCGCTGTCTGGAGGCATCAGGACCTGCAGCACATCGAGTAAATTATGCTTGAAGGCACGTGCGTACAAAACGTCGCAGCTGTTCATGACACACTTGAACACACCACTGTTCGGGTAATGCAACACGACAGTTCGACCGCCTCCTCCTATGATGTCCATCGTTCGCGCCACTGGACGGTGAAGCAGGCACGAGAAATCGCGCGTGATTCCTTTTATAGTGGATGTAGACTTGCGATGCATCTACCACACTCTCCCTCGCCCACCTGGACCCGGTGTCAAGGCAGAATCAAGAAAACCGGGGACTAGGGAGATCGCAGGTGAATGGCACGGTCGAGTCCGCACCTTGGTAATCCACACAACACCCCTGGTCCACTCAGCAAATGACCGGGTTTTTCGACCAACAACGACAAAGAGAATGAGGGCGGGCGCGGCCGAAACCACACCTAGGCGTGCTGCCCACACCCGGCTCGGATCCCACACAGTGAGAGTGCCATAAAGGCCATATTAGGAAGGAGCCATTGCAGCCTGACTCTCAGACCTCCAGTCGGCTGCTCCAAACAAGCACACAATACTGTGCCGACTGCGAGGTCCGAGTTATCCCGTCAGTTGGCAACCTTCCAAGCCGCGGCTTTTAGCGCACCGTGATAACTTCAAGCGCGTCAGATTGTTTATAGTGAGGAAAGTGCGCTGAATCATCGATCTCACTCTCCCTTCCCATTTCCAGGTCCCAGCCACTGTTCAATCCGGTCAGCTGGCTGGTGCGGGGAATGGGCGCGGTGTCTGACATATCTAGTGACCTTGTCTGCACTTGCCACGTGCACGACCTGGCTCCCCAAACACAAGCACCAGGATTTCACGCGACGGGTGTTAGTCAGCACACATCTCACATGCGGGGAGGAGCTGCTTCCGCCTGGCTCTCAGTCCAACAGTCCGCCATTCCACACAAACACACACAACTGGACAGACGCGCGGGCTAACTTGGGGCACCAGAAAGCAGGCTTCCAAGCTACGGACGCGCCGCGATAGCCTCAGAAACGAGTCACACATGCAGCACATGAGCCGAATGGAGACGGAGCCGAGAAACACACTTCCCATTCCCCTGTGAAGTGGCAATTGGGGGCTTGCGCTGGATGATGTATGGGGCGGGTGCTAGTGGCGGAAGATGTGATGGTGTGGTTTAACTGGCGGTTGTCCACCGCAGGTTTTCATGAATGCGCATGTGACCTAATAGGCCCATGTGATGAATGTGTGGGTGTCGTGAGGGCAGTTGAGGCGGATGCGTCTCATGTATGTGGTGGCTTCAGGCACTGGTTCACCAGTCTCTGTGCGATGAATTCGCAACTAACCAACCAGGCCAATGTGTGAGGTGAAGACGCGATCGCAATGAGAACAGGTATTGATCGAATCCACATCGCTGGTGTTGGCGGTGGGGGAAGGGGGGGGAGGTTGATGTTCGACGGTGCTTCATGATTGTATTCAGTGGTGGCGGGGGTAGACCCCTCCACAACAGATGTTTGGACGGTGGAGGATGGCAATGAGTGATCAGGAGCTCGGTTAGGGTTGACGGCCAACGTAAAGGACGAGGCAGAGGTGAACGGGGGACATCAGGTGGTGTCGTTCATGTGCTGAAATTGGTTCAATATTGTTCCATATGATCGTTTGTTGCCCCTGGCGTCCGCTGACATCGTGGACGGGCTGGGAATGGTTGAGATTTGTGAGCCTTATGCTTGGCTTTGGCGGTGGTTATGTGGTTGGCTTCGTAGATTGCTCTGCCTGTCTTCATTGCTCTCCTACAGGTCGCTAGGTCCCGGGCAAGGTCTTCCCAGCTAGCTGAGTTGATTTACAAGCGCTTCAGGGAGGTTTTTAAGATGTCCTTGGAAAGACGGACTTAGTTTCCTTGTCGACGAGAATCCCTGGCGACATTTCCAGAGAAGAGCCGTTTGGTTAGCCGCTCGTCGTCCATCCGCACGAGATAGCCGCTCCAACCCAGTTGCAAGCGTCTCAGCACGGTATAAATGCTGAGGATTCCTGTCCGTTCCAGTGCGTCCATGTCGGGGATCCGATCCTGCCACCTCAACTTTGGTATCCGCTGGAGACTGCTGGGGTGACAATGGTGCTCCTTGTGCACCGTCCAGGCCTCCGCTCCATACAGCAGTGTCGGCGGGAAGACTGCTTTGTACGTCTTGAGTTTGCTGTTGGGGTGGAGACCGTTACGATTCCAAACGGTGCTCTGCAGGCAACCGAAGACTTGGCTGACCATGGAAATCTGGCGGGCCACTTCATCGTCGATTTTGGTGTTGCGAAAGAGGGTGTTGCTCAGCTATGCGATGTTGTCCACGGCTTGCGGTTGGGCGCCCTTCACGCTGAATTGGGGTATGTTATGGACAGCGTCGGGCGGCGACTGGCGCATAACCGACGTCTTCTCCGTGTTGATGATTAGGCCAAATTTTTCGCAGACGGCGGCGAAGGGGTCCACGCTCCTTTGCATTTCCCCTTCGGAGGTGGAGTTGGGGGTGCAGTCGTCGACGAAGAGAAGTTCATGGTTGGTAGTTGTGGATACATGGGACTGGAAGTGATTGGGGGGTTGGCCGTCTGCCCCGTAGGCGAAGCGGATTGCGGGGCGTTCGTCCTGGTAGGCGTTCATTAACATGGTGGAGAACATGAGGCCGAAGAGGGTAGGCCCCAGGACGCTGTACTGCATCACTCCGTCTACTACCCTCCAAGCCACGAGGCTTAGGGAGTTGCGATAGACTCTCTTGCCGTGGGTTGTGGAGTTCCAATGTCGGCCTCATTTGCTCTTCTCTCGTCCTCGCGCTCGTCAGATGTCTATGTCTACCAGTCAGCTTGTGATGGGATTGGATGCAGTGGCTGACACAGTGCCTCTCAATTCCCACTTCGTGTACCAAGGTACATCAAGGGAAATGCTTCCCACTCAAATGAGGTGTGCGTGTTCTTACATGTGACATTTCCTCCGACATATGGGCTGCCGCAGGAGTGATGCATGGTGTCATACGGAGGGGACTCATGTATGCGTGTGTTGTTGAGTGGGCTTTTTGTATAGTCTTCTGCTCCCCCTTCTCCTACGCCTCCCCATTTCCCCTCCGTCCCTCCCCTCTCCCTTTCGCTCCCCCCATTGCTTTTCCTTCCTCTCTACTCGTGAACTTGTCCACTGTCTACTCTTCTGTTTTCCCCCACAGTCAAAGAGCCCTGTGAGGAGGGCGAGAATTATGCACCAACTGTTACCCAACACGCAACAGAGCAATCCTTCTCGAACCAATGTCGATGGAAATCTAATCAAAACCGTGATCGGCATCGTTTACCTGGGAAGCACAGTTTCCTGCAGCACAATAACCGACGGCGATGTGGCCTACTGAACCTTCAAAGCCAAGCAAAACCTTCGGCCGGTTGCAGCACTCCGCGTGGAATCGTCACGGCCTCCAACTGGATACAAACTGAAGATGTACAAAGCCGTCGTCCTGATGACTCATCTGTACGCAGCGGAGACTTGGGCCGTCTACTCCAGCCATGCCAAGAAGCTCAGCCACTTCCATCTTAGTTGCCCTCGCTGAATATTAAAGCTGAGATGACAAGATAGGATCCCCGACACGGAAGTCCTGGGACAGACCGAAATCCTCAGCATCCGTGCTATGTTGAGGCAACCACGAATACATTGGAGCGGCCACTCGTAAAGATGTAAGTTACACGTCTACCGAAACAACGCTTTTATGTTGATGTCGCCACGGGTACTCGTCGACAAGAAGGACAAAAACGACGCTAAAGGACACTCTGGAGAACTCTCTGAAACGAATTCATGTCGGTCCGACGACCTGGAAGAACCACGCCCAGAACAGACAGACATTGCGAAGAGAAGTGAAGACCAGAGCAGCCATCTACGAGGCGAATCGGACCCTGACCGCCGAATTCAAGATGAAGGCTCACAAGTCACAACCGCCCCAACTTCTCAATGCCAACAGCCGGCCGCTCTCGACCTGCCCGCTCTTCAACCGTACATTCCGCGTAAGAATTCGCCTCGTAGGTCACCTTTGAACGCAGTGCGTCAACAACCCGACAACGTCGACTTCTTATTCCACTCTCGCGCCTATCGAAAACCCCGCGATGTCGACTACCGCCCTCACCGCCGACCACACTCTCGTTGCCCTGCTGCCATCAGCCGCCGACATCATCCATCCCGCCCTAACCTCTGCGTCCACCACCGCGACCTGCTCCACCAACACCACGACATCCTGCACTCCCTCCACCGGTGGGGCGACGTCGGACGCCCCATTACTTGCTACCATCACCACCAGCATCCCCACCTCCAGCGATGTGGACTTGGCTCATACCTGCCTTCACTGCGATCGCACAGAGACTGGCGAACCAGTGCCTGGTGCACCAACCTACACTCGCCACATCCGCATCGACTGTCATCACTGTCCCCGCATTGATCTACTAGGTCGTATACGCATTCATATATCTTGCGGTAGACAACCGCCGGCTACATCACTTCATCACCCCTTTCCCTACCAGCACCTGCACCATACAACATCACCCTTTGTCACACAATGCAAAGCACTCGATTGCCACCTTTCATTTAATTGAGAAGTGTGCTTCCCGGCTCCTTCTCCGTGTGGCTACTCTGCTGCATGCGCGACCAAAGTCCGAGACTATCGCGGTGCGCCAAGCGCCGCGGTTTAGAAGGCTGCCCAAATGAAGCCTCCACTCAGTCCACACAGTTTGCCCAATTGTGCGTGTATGTGTGGAGGGGCGGACTGGTGGGCCGAGGGCCAGACTGTCACGGTCCCTTTCCAAGCCATCTGTGACACGCTCATGCATGTGAGGAGAGTGCTGGTGTTTTTGTGGGCAGTGCCCCTCAGTCGATGACTGGCTGGTTATCCGGCCTTTGAAAAGTGATGACCCAGGCTACTAGCAGGGCTGCGTGTCACCCTTCTGGACCTTAAGGTTTTTATGCATCTACTATGCCGTAGTCTGCAAACCATAGCCTTCGCAGCCTGCTGTGTGTTGGCCATTCTCTGACACCTGGTTCCCTGCCGGTAGATTCGCTTGCGCTCCCGCTGGGTATACAGGCCGTGAGCATGGCTACTTAGTCGTCGTCGCCGTCTTTCTGACTCGCTGTGGTGCCATCGTTGTTGGTTAAAGTCCTGGTCTAGTGCTTTTTGTGGACCAGGGGGTGTGGTGGTATGCCTAGGTGCGGGTCCGGTCGCGCCAAGCACTTGTGCTCTCTCTCTCTCGCCTCCGCTGTTCTTGACTACGTCCTGACACCGGGTCCAGGTGGGGGAGGAGAGAGTGCGGTAGATGCTGCGCAAGTATACTCTCACTATAAACTAATTCACGCGCAAGTCACCGTGCCTGATCTCACCTTGCTGTGGAGCACACGATGGGCATCGTCGCTCACGACGGTCGAACTGCCGTGTGCGCGCACGCGGGATGTAGTGGTGTCTAGTTAGCGGCAACCGCGCATAAGCGTTCGGTCGCACCATGCTTATAGTGACTGATCCTCACGGTCATTAACTGACACCCATCTGTCGTCTGTGGCTCCCCAGAGATAGGCTCCACTTCGCGGTCACAGCCCGGTAATCCCCTGGATCGCCGGACTAAACCAGGTGATAGTATCCCCTGCTGCTTGTCCTCGTACCCGGAGATTCTTTTCCCATCTCATCGTCGCCCTTCCAACCTTTCCCTCCAATCCCCTCCACCTCCCTCTTCCCCAAATTTCCTACGGAAAGAACAACATTCAGTCCCGTAGGCAGTCCAGGCTAATCCGGCTCGCTCTCTAGTAAACAAAGTCATGATCCATAGTGAAGTTCGGCAGCCGTCTGGGGCGTCTAAGCAGCCAAATTTGGGGATAGCAGCATTTACCGCGGCGAGGGAGATGGGGCTAGAAAAGGTGACGTCAACAAATCCCGTCTTCATGGCATCTGTGCGCAGGCTGTGGCTTGCAGACTGCAATACCTACGATCGAAACCAAGAAACGATACTCTTGAATAAGGAGACACGGTCGTTGTGACAAGAGCTTTATTCGCCGGACGCTTAGGGTTCCTGTTCAAAAACATCATCAGAGGCGATAGCAGATACGGGTCTGCTATTGCCCCTGATGATAGTCCAATCAAGAATCCGGAACGTCGGGCGAATAAAGCCCTTGTCCCAGAGATCGTGCCTCTTTCTTCACGACTTCTTCCTAGGACTCGTCACTTTGCTTCTATTGGCAAATAATACTCTCTCTCTCTCTCTCTCTCTCTCTCTCTCTCTCTCTCTTTCCCCTTCTTCCCTTCCGTCCCACCCCACAGGCTGCTAGGATGAGTTCGCTCATTCTGGCAGCCTGGAATATTTGTCGCCTTTTAAACATTCCCAGAAGCAACCGACCGGAACGGAGGACGGCTCAAGTTGTTCTGGAATAGTTGAACAGGTGGATTGTCTTTGGTGACTTCAATGCCCACGTCGACACAGACCACGTCGCCTGGAGGGGAGGGCTGGGTCCTCATGGGATCAGCGGCCGCAAAGACAATAGACTCTTTCTCCTATGAATCTGTGTTGAACACCGCCTCCTGCTGGCCAACACCCTCTTCCGATTGCCGATGAGGAAGGAGGCCACCTGCATGCGTCCCTGCTCGCGGTGCTGGCAACTGCTAGACTATGTTCTCGTTTTGCAACGAGATTGGCGGGAGGTGATGGTGACCAAGGCGGTCTGAGATGCCGACAAATTGACGGATCAGCACCTCGTCCTTTCCAAGATGAAACCCAGACTACAAACCTACAGGAGGCTACGAGTTAAGCGACCACCGGACAAGTTAAAATTGTCTGCTCACAACTTTTGTTTCAGAATTAAATTACCCCAGCACCTTCAAGAACTGTCGGCCCCATCGACAAAACCACTGTGGAGACTAGGTGGTGTCAGCTGCGGAATACCATCCATTCCACCGCCTTGGATGTCCTCGGACGCGCACGTCGCCAACATCAGGACTGGTTCAACGACAATGTCACAGACATCTGAAAATTGCTCGCTGAAATGCACAGACTACACAAAGCCTACATGAACCACCGGACGGACATCAATAAGGAAACCTCCTGTCGCTATCGCTGCTACGTGCATAAACGACTGTGGGAGATGCAGGCTGTCTGGGTGACTCGTATCGCCGCACAAATCCAGGGTTATACCGACCGTAATGAAGTAAAGAACTTCTTCTTATCAATCAGACCTGCCAACTAAGGGAACCGCGCCATTTCTCAGCCCCGATGAAAAAAACATTTCTGACTGGGAAATCGCTGATTTCGAAACGCCAGGCCGATCAATTCAGAAGTGTCCTCAACCGTCCGTCCATGATCTCCAACACCATCACCGACCGACTCCCTCAACTAAAAACTAAAGATGACCCGAGTCTGTCGCTTACTCTCCTACAGATAACCAGAACCGTATGCCAACCTGCCAGCGGGAACGTACCGAGAACCGTTGCAGTTCTACCCGAAGTCTACAAGCACGGCGTCCCCTGATTGATGAATCACCTTGCAAAGCTACTCCAGGAGATGTGGCACTGAGGACAAGTTCCTGAGGGTCTTATGGATCTACAAGCGGAAGGGGAACCGGCAATTCTGTAATAACCACAGAGGAGTCTCGTTGGTCGTCATCGCTGGAATGATCTTCGCTCGCATCCTCCTTAACCATCTCAACGGCCATCTCGAACAAAGCCTTCTACCGGAAAGTGAGAGTGGCTTCGGACGACACCGCAGAACCTCCGACATGGTCTATACCGCCCGTCAACTGCAAGAGAAATGCCAGGAAATTCGGACCCATTTCTACACTACCTTTGTGGACTTGGTGAAAGCCTTCGACAGGATTAATGGCGATGAACTGCGGAAAATCGTGCAGAAATTCAGCTGCCCTGAGCGATTCACGCACACAGTGCGTCAGTCCCACGACGGATTGATTGTGCTCGTCACGGAAAACTGGAACGTTTCAGAAGTATTTGCAGTAGCCAATGGAGTGAGGCAGGACTGTGTTCTCGTCCCAGCCCTCTTCAGACTTATGCTCTCTGCCATGCTGATGGACGCCTACCGTGATGAGTGTCCTAGGACCGCATCGCCTAAAGGACCGACGGGCGTCTTCTCAACGGCCGGTGCACGCGGGCCCAAAAACGGCTATTTACGACAACAAACCAGGACCTTCTATTCGCGGTTGACTGTGCACTCAACACCCTGACAGATGCAAACATGCAACGGAGCATGGAATTCTTCGTCTCCGGCCGCCGCCATTTCGGACTGACCATCAACACGGACAAGACGGTGGTAAAGCATCAATCGACAGTCAACTCTGCAGAAAATGTTCCTTGCATCCACATCAATGGCTCCCAACAGAAGACAGTGGACAGCTTCGCCTACAGAAGAAGACTATGCGATCACTGGAACAAGAACTATTAACCTGACATTTCGGATTCTGACTGAGACCCATAAGCACAGGCAGTCGGAGAAAAGGGTAGTAGAGGCACAAAGGGGACTCAGTTAACAAGTACAATGGCCTCCTGCCTCAGTATTCTGTGCTGCGATTTTGCCTGAGCAAAATAATTACCCACGAGGGGAGGGCGTGGGCGACTAACAGTCCCGGTAGCGGTGAGCCGCACTGCTGAGTAATCGTCACCCCAGAATCAATAACGGTGATGAAATCACGGCAATTAACGACTCGGGTATGCGGAGGCACTTGGATGCGAACAATCCTAAAATTACCTTCGACGCATAGATAAAAGAAGCTTACCCCACAGACTCTCTCAGGGGCGACTTAACACCGTCAGCATGCGCTCGAACCTGGCCGGCGTTCACTACTGCCTGAGACAGTAAATCCTTGTTCTATGGGCAATAAGTCCCTCCTTCTGGCGCCTTCCACCTTGTCCTATTAGTAAGGATTTTGCCTGATGATGGTGGAGCCCTGGGTACATTCGCTACTCTAACTGCACCAAACATCTAGGCACCACGTATCGATCTGTTATCATGAACCCAGCTACAAAACCTTGGACTGACTAGAATGTAACCTGGCTGGCTGTGCAATCGTCGTTTAAACCACTGGTCAGTAAATGTTTACGACGACAATAGAAGCACATGTTGATGACCCCCAGTCAGTTCTAGTCAGTAAAATTCAGCACCTCTTACCTATTATCGCATCGAGAATGTCGCCGGCCAAAATGCCACTGCTGGAAGAGTGGCGTGAACCGGCACAATCATTTCATTCCCCGGCGGCAGTCATCAGGTCACGGAAGTGGTTGAACCAGCTCATAGAAATGTCAGCAGGTATAATCACCGAGCTAATCGGCGGACGACTTCTTCCTGTAGACGTAAACGCCATGGGTGCATGTATGTGCCCCTTTCAGTCGCATACCAGTTGGCTGGTTACTGACCGGTACCTATACAAGCAATTAGTGGTTGGCCCTTTGCAAGTGGCCCATATCTATACCGAGCCTACCAAAGGAGTCACGTAGATTGCAGTAACAGAGGATAACATGGGATTTGACCACCGGCATCTTGGTTTCCTCAAGGCACAATTCGGCGATTCGAAGTTCTGGCGGACAGCAGATATCGGGTCTGCTTTCGTCTCTGATGATGGGTTCGAGCAGGAATCCGAAACGTCAGGCCAATAAAGCTCTTGTCCCAGCGGTCGTCTCTCCTTCTTTACGACTGCTTCCTGGGACTCGTTTCTTCGCTTCTGTAGGAGGTGGCATCATCAATATAACTCGGTCGCCGAATTTCAACTTAGTTATACGGACAGTCCCTCAGACGTCAACGCCGGAAGCTTTCGCCCCTTTGGGCATGATTTTGCTGGTATTGCCGTTTGAATAGTTCTCTTTTGCTCTACTTTCAGGCGCACGACGCACCACTGCGCCCGCTTCGATGAAACTGCTTGCGCTTGACGCACAGCGGTACGATGAGTAATCGATCTCAATAAATGCTACCCGAAATTCTGTAATGTGTTTTCGATTATTCAGGATTATTTAAGCTGACCTCCAATGTTAATTATCGCAATGCATAATCTGAAAATATCTCAGTTACGCCAAGATGCTGGCTTCTGAATGCACTTTATTTTTGTCGGTTTTAAAAAGTTTTCAACCCCTAAGTAATTTTGAACCTACCCGCCATTGTATTTGCGTTTAGGGTTTTCAGTTCACCAAACGTATCGCTTCCGTATAAGAAAAAAATTATGCATTCCCCTATGCATTAATAGGATATAATAAAGAGTTCACATAACCTTTCAATTTACGTGGGCTGTGTTGAATACATACTTCATGAGAAGCATTACTAAACCGACAGGTACGATGTTATTTGGATGGACATTGAACGGTCCTAAAAATCGCACAATTTGTAAATTTCTTAAAACCGATAGATAATCCTTCTTCGAGGATACAATTTGAACAAGACATGACTTGCCACGAAATGAGTAAAATGGGAACATTTTCGTGTGTCTTCCTTAAGATATCCTTATAAGGGCATCGAAAATCAGTGGAACAATTCATGAAACTTAAGTAACTATTTTCACTGAGTGGGATTTCTTCAGATCGCTGTAAAGGAATACATTCAAAAGCCAATATCCTGGCGTGTCTAAAATATTCTGGGATTATTCCTCACGTTAATCATCTTCGTTCAAGCAATCCTTCCTAGACAAATACGCGTTTCAGAATTCTGGCTTTATATCCCACCTCAGGGTCGGGGTGAGGATGAGACTCCCTCCTGGAGTGACTGATCCTCTAAGTTCGCAGCTGTGCGGCGTTGTAACGCCCATGACCTGTATAGAGTTGTTTGAGCGAAGCGGCACTTTTCGCGCGGACCTGGGATGGTGATGGTGTAAATGCATGTCAGCGAAGATAGCCGGTGTCACTTCGCTCTCTCTACCGACGACTCCGCCCGCAACTTATCGTAAAGCCCTCCTCACTCTCTACGTCAGCGCCTCCCTCGGCCCTCCCCTGCGGTTGCTCCAACCTTCCGCTTCACAGTCATAAACCAAAATGGTATACCTGGCATCAAGTCAAGTTGTAAAGTGATCACAACTTGGTGTTCAAGTTGGAACTCGATCAACCGGCTCATTGACGTCTCGTCCGTCCTCAGCAGTCATCCCTCTAGGCCGGCCGGCGATTGGCCGAAATCTCTTCTAAGCGTTACCAGCTTTGTTGCGACTGAACTCTCGGACAATGAGCTCCTATGCAGATTTGAATTTCGCACCAAAATAAAGGATTTATTTCGTACAAATTCGGTGAACCTGAATAAATGTCACCTATATCTGGGAGGAGCACGTGGTTTCTTTACAATTTGTTACTTTAACGAACTCTTGGAGACTGTCGTAAAATGATCTTAGTCTCATACTTTTCTTTAAATCATAACGAAAAAAGAAGGCTTTGCCCTTGCATCACTTTGTCATTTGATAGGTTTTTTTCAGACTTAGCTAATGTAAAAAACCGTCTTAGAGATAACCCTGTTACTCGCTACAGGTTGTTCCTTTTGCCTGTGTGAAGATAATTTGATTTAAAGATTGGGCACTTCTTTGGCAAAAATTCTTCATAGAAGAGGGGTAAATTCGTGTGCTTGAATTTATCCAGCAAAAGCTCAGGAGCGTTCATTCATCATTAGCTGTATCACGGTGTGGCAACCAAGGCGCAAAGTATTGTGCCCTTGTCTTATGCATTTATTAGCGCTTATACTTCTAGATGACAGCACCCAGCTAGAAGAAATATATATATTTTTACTTATTTTGCCTCGATCTTCACACATGAGTTTGTTATTTTCACGAAATCGAGTTTAGCTTCAGTGAGAACTTTTTCGCACTATTCCTTCATTTTCTTATGAAACCAGGATGAATCCGCCAGATGTCACATCAAAATCGACTCAGGAATGTCAACAGAATTACAGTATTTCGAATATAAGCAAAAATGCCAAACGATAAAGACGTTCTGCGGTCACATAGTGAGTAAGTGAAGGGACGACCTCATTTGTGACAGCCAAAATATTAAGATGATCGGGAGCAGTGATGCCGAAAGTTGGTCACTGATGTCTGGGGCATACAGTGGGTGACCTAACTCGTGAAATATATCGAAACTTACGAATGATTGCTAATCGCCCGCAAACCGACACCCTTCCGTGGACCCAATATCTATGTTAATAAAGCAAAACTTTAAGAGAATTAAAACCATATAATGAATGATAAAGGCAATGTTGCGTTGTTTAGAAATGTCAATTTTTTTAGAAAATCGCAAAATCCCGAAAACGTCAAAACGGTTGCAATTGATTAAACTTCGTTTTTAAATTTTCAAAATGTCTACCCATGGAAAAAATTGAGTGAACATGAAAGCACAAATAGAGTAATAGTTAAATTAATGCTTTAGTAAAGTTTGTGATGAGGTACCGGACTAATTTACCTTTGACAATTTAGTCCCGTTTTCTTTGATCGAATTGCTTGTTTGAATGTGACGAAAAACGACACACCTGAACAACTCGTTTTGCTGGCTTGCTCAGCTATCGCGCTCTGTTGCCAGGTCACTATGCGTTCAGAACCTCTATATTATTCACTGCTCGGTTTTACTTGCTGCCTTTAGGGCTAGGGGCTCGTAAGATATAACTCGTTAGTTCGTGAGAGCATTACCATTTACTTCAAGTTTACATTCAAATATCCTTAAAGAATTAGCGTAATTCCAGGTATGGCACCTTGCCAGCAGCCTACATTATGAGGATAGATTCCGAAACAATTTCCGAGGATTCGTGCTATCCCTTAGTCTTTTGAATTAATTGACACGCGGTTCAATAGGAAAAGCAAGATTTCGCTCGATTTTGCTGACAGGGACATCATAGGAACAAATGTTTTCATATGGTCACATGCTGCCATTCCGATTAGTGCCAAATAATTTTAAATAGAATTGGCATGTGTAATCGTAAGCATACCATTTTGTGCTTATCAAGAGAACTTTTCTTCCGTTAAATTAATTTGTACTTTTCGTTCGTTCAGGATTACGTTGAGTATCAGATCGGCCTTGAATTATCGACGAATTTTTAACGATTTTCAGTGTTTTTATCCCATAGACCATAAGGATAGATTATGTATTATGCGTCTGTTAAAAACTTTAAAATAAAATACTTCTTGGAGGCGTTTACCGAAGTAGCGAGTGTTTGGGCTTTCTTTTTCATTTGAAACCTCATCTGGGTCACATTTGAGGACTTACGCAAACAGGAACACTCATCGTCGGGTAAAACTGCCGTCCACAACGAAAGTCAACAGCGAATATGTCTTAGATCAATCAGAAAACGTTCTCTAATAAACTATGAGGAATGCTTTGATACTGCATTCCGTTGGCGGATGTCTGAGTACTTTAATTGTCTACAGAGTGAGGTCAAGAAAAAAATTGGCACTTTCGGTCGTTTCTTTCATTTTTCTAAATGATACTGATATTTTTCGACTGCAAACGCAAGAACACGCCTCTTTCTTTATATTGCGACCATTTAAATTGTTTTTGATCAACGTTACACTCCATTTTATGATTATGAATGCACGACCGAGTGGCTATATATACATTGCTATTTTGTTGAAGATGTTAACGTTTTGCTCGTTCCATTTCTGAATTAGGTATGTGCAGAAGCTAGACTGCACAAAATGTAATATTTAATATGTTCAAAGCTGAAAATGACAGTTCGGTGGTGGTCGTTCCTGTGACAACACGTAGGATTTTCCAAACAGCAAAACAATTGCACTTCATTTAAATGAAGTATTGCCTGTGTGCGGTGGTAGTGCACTTTAGGGCACAAAATCACACAGATCTGCTGATCTGAATTCTATAAATCGACAAAACATCTGGTTCTCTTACCATAACCTTTGTTTTAGGAAGTTGATTACCACAGTAACCGTGGGACAAAAAAATAATTTTCAAGTCTGGCAACCTCTGTTTATTAAAACTCCCTGGAGGGAATTACTCTCCTTCCAAGGACAATCCCGCTCAGATGGGCAACCGAAGACCAGAACAGGTATTGGCGTAGGAAATGCCCGCGTATACAGCGACGACAATTTTCGACCAAATTTATGAACATTTTGCTTGAAAAATTACATAACCACAATTTCTGCACAAGATGAGGACATTTGCTAAAGGTAGTTGAGCAGGAAAGCAAAATGCGCAACGTTACAACGTCCTTAATTCGCCCATCAGATTCTGTCACAAGGTTCCATGAGATAGGTCACGTACTGTATATACTTTTGAGCAACATCGTACAATAAAGAGCTAATTTTTTACAAGGACCTGACTGCTGATAGCCGCCAAGAGATGATGAAGTCGAAAGCATACAGCGAGCTATATGGACTGGATCACTAAGAAAGATATTTTCTCTTGTTGGCATACCTTCGATATTATGCATCCTCATTTATCTAGATGAGTGTAGGAGTGAAAATAGAAAAAAAAAAACACCGGAATAGAGATCCCATCAAGAGGACAGAACCCAACAATATCAACAACAACACGAAAAACTACGTAACGACTTATCAGTGACAGGATACAATTGGCCAACTGCCTCACGGTCCCATACACAAAATAGCACGGGCGACGGCGCAGAAATCTCGTGTACCAGTTCTCCAAGAAGGACCACATCCACGGCTCGTCACCTCCCAACCCACACACACACCACTTGCCTTGACTTGTGCTGATTTTAATCGAGGCTCTTGCGGTTCAGGACTGGGTTGCTAGTCCATCCAACCAGAAGTCCCACCACTTCCTTCAATGTCAGGAAGCATTCATCATCCCCTACTGCTGACTTTGCTGGAGGTAGACGCATTGGAGTCGAGTAGCCTCCGACGTTCATACTCGAATGACTAATATCCAACAGTCCGTCTAGTGTAAGTCATGTTTGCACCTCCCCCCCTCTCCCCCCGCCTCACTACACATCGCATTGTATTTGAGTCTTGCCGGTGA